AATAAATAGTTCACAAATATATAATAAAACAATACCCTAATATCACTATTTATACAAAAGGCATTTTAAAACTATAATTGATATCGCAAATTATGATGACATTATAAATTCCCAAAAAAAAAGGGGTACGTACTATGCAAAGAACTCAAAAGTCAAAATAGCTTTATTTAAATAGATAATTACTTGGCACTTTAATTGTGCCGAGATGTTTTTTTTTTTTGAGGAATTCATATGTATGTCATAATTTGTTATCACTAATAATAAATGCCATGATTTAAGAATATCGAGTATTTCAACGAATATTTGGTATAATGATTACAAATTTAAAGTTACTATCCTATGTATAAATAATAATAATATTTAGATTTACGCTTAATCGCTACGCTATATTTGTAACTTTTAACATTAATATTGATTAATGACATTTTAATGATGAACCTGTTGCAATTTAGAGATTGTAGAAGAAAAAAAAATGTACGTAAAAATAACTGCCTGCATAGGAAGGGTAATATTTTTCGCGCGTGTTTTTTGTTGGTTTGTAAAAAAATTACCTTGTATATTTCAATTGTCTGGATAGATTTCAATAGTTAAGGTATTGTTGTATCCGTCTAGAAAATCCAAGTGTCCTTAAATAGCTTTTTGAAAGAAAAAAATAAAATGGCGGCTTTCTGACGTAAAATTGTAAAAGGTTAATTTAAAAAAATACTAATTTTATCGAGTAGGCTATCAATGTCAAGAAAATTAAAAGGGGATTATAATATTTTTTTTAATTTAAATTTTATTAGGAATAATAAACTGTTTTTTTAAGTTGATGTCGTAAAAATGTTTGTTTGGACCTCGTGCGGTTTCGGTCTTTTTAGTCCATTACTTTTACAGTCTTTTTGCAGTCGGATTTTTAATTTTTTACATTATTATTTGTTATATTTAAACTTACGTCAGGAATTTTAAAATGCTTCAATTATTTATGAAATTTAATAAATTTAGTCATTGAATCTTTTTTTGTCGTAAAACAGAATATTTTCAGTTTTGGAAATGTACAAATTGAAACGCAGTAAACAATTTTGAATAATAATATCGTTGTAAAGCAATATAATTAATAATTGTTCTCTGCCTTTCAATTTTTAATAGAGACTGTTTTTTTTTAAGAAATCCAAACTATTCTTAGACACCACTTGTTAATAGATTTTTTTTATTTCAGGTGTTATTTTTATTAATTTATTACAATCAATTCGTGTGGGTATTTTTGTTAATAATACTTCTAAATGGAACACACTTAACGCGCGTTCCGCCTTCGTTAAAATAACAATAATTTTTATGATGTCGTGGTACTTGGTGGTCAACTTCACTGTAATCAGATAAAAGATAATAAAAACCGTTCTTCCATAACCTCCAAACCGTGACTGAAAACAACGGATCCTATGCCTACGGTGATTTTCATTTCAACAACTCTTTTCACTTATAATCTTGTGACTTTGGAAGTATAAACGTGAATTTTGCATGTTTTGAGGATGAAGATTTGAATTGTGTTTGAGAAATAAAGTGTTTGTGTGTATATTGTTCTTGAAAAAGTAACACCAAGCACAATAAGAAACAAGGAACTACCGAATGACCATGTTATATAATCTAGATTATAAAATAGTTACAATAGTAGGTAATTTAAACATGCGCCATCTTTCTCAAAGCTACTTTACATTATCTGTTTCAAAGAAGGTACGTCGTATCGCTTCATTGTTTCCTATTCTACAGTAATTTAATAGTTATAAATTTTGTATGTCACATATAATTTAAAGCTAATATTTCATATTGAGTATTCAAAAGTACTTAAAAAACGCACTTAGACCATATATTTTTATACTAGGTACAATATTTGTTAGGTATATAAGATATCAGTTAAAAATGACTTAAACAGGACTCTAAAACTACTTATATTATTACACAAAATGATTAAAAATGTATTATGTGGATGAATGTAATAAAAAAAGCGTTTGTATTAGGAGTCGTTAAAACTTTTTTTATTAGTTTGATAGTTCATGTAGACACTACTACTAAAAAAGTTTTGATCATAAAAGTTCACTGGAATATAGGAATACTGAAATACTTTTGGGTTAGATATTAAGTATTCATTAGTTAATTGAAAGTTACCTTGTAAAAGGCACTGTAAGTCGTGCAATAAATTTGAATCAAAAAACAAAATCAGTAGGTTACAATTACTAAGAAAATCTAGAAGACGTTTAATGACAATCGGAAAGTGAAAAATACGTCCGTTGCAATTGTTTTACATACTCTCAAAGTAAAATAAATAAAAGAAGAGGGTATTTGTGCCGATATTGGTACATGCACTTGGGATTTATCATTCAGCAATCAAAAGTGTGGTGATTAACTTGAACAGTTCCCTTACTGCTGCAGCTACTGAAAGTATGTTTGTTTCGCAAGAGAGATCGGAATCGCTTATTTGCGACATATCCTTTACTTTTTGATGAAAACTATCACAATGAAAATACTATGGGTTGTATAAAAGTAAAAAAAACCTAAAATAGGCTTTAACATAGTAGATGAAATGACACCCCTCTAAGATTACAACATAAAACATTAATTCGTAAATTTTTAAAACAATTCAAGCGCTTATATTGACTTTTTACTAAATATAAAAATTACTGATACCGTTTCTGTAGTAAACAACTGAATTTATTTTAGTATATATGTCTACACTATCTGTATCTTCAAGAAATTATTTAATTTGGAATCATTAAGGGCAAGGGTATTAAACAGTTCTTTGTGGTAAGTTTAAATTGTAAGTATAAACAAATAACAAGTGTTTATTAGTACCTTTATCAGCAGCAACCGATATTTTTATTGAAAATTAGTGACAAATTAGTTTTTTGAATAAAATTAGTTTGTTAGATATTTGAGTACATTGAAAATACGGCTACTTAAACAAGTAGTACTTCTTGAACACAAAACAACTAGATTAAAAAATCAAACTTTAGTAGATTCAGAAATGTTTTCTTAGTTAATATTTAAAATTTTAGAAAGATGATCGAAAACATGTATTATATGAACATAGTATGTAAGGGACATTGTACCAAATACTGAAATAGTGTATTCAGACCATGATTCTGAGTCGAAAATCATTAAATTTTCTGCCGGCAATTTTTTTTTTAATTAAAGTGATATCACAATGACTAGAAACTGCAATTAAATTAATCACACGGCCGAATCGCGCGGGGCCTCCCCTCCGTCCGCTATTTTGTGTTAGTGTACGTAGACGGTTTGCATGGAATACATATGTAGGAATGACCTTAGCCTTTGACTTTACCTTTGACATTGATTGCATAAAAAGTTTAATTTTCCGGCAGAAAATTCCAATGATTTTCGACTCAGAATGATGGTCTGAACACACAGACCATCATCAATATTTCAGTATTCGTTACTATGTCCCTTACACCGTGTATGGACTATTCAAAAACTTTTCCAGGGGTTAAGACCTATTTCTGAAAATATTGGCATAACCATTAGTATGAACCAAACTGTCTTTGTTTCATTAGTGTTATGTGTATTACGCTTATTACATTTATCATTATATTTTTAAACTTTTAATAAAGTTCATGGTTAAGTGTTAAACAAACAACCTAAGCTATGTATGTCACCGACTCTATAATTTGAAAAGGAAATAATAATAAAGAGACGGAGTGAGAACTAAAGTATACAACTTAGAATGGAAATTTTAAAATAAACCCTGAGGTGTGTAGTATTTAAAGTCGTGCAACTCTGCATGTGTGTTGCAGTAGTCACTACCTGTAAAGGGTTCCTCCTCTTACCAGAAAAGGTCCATTTCCCCATAAGGAGTCAATCTACTTGACGTGATCTAAACGTTATATGATGTATCTATCGATATTCATAAGAAGTGGACGAAATCACTAAGTCTATTGACAATAAAACATCATACATTCAATACCAAATACGACCGACATTTTATAAATTCTACTCAAGTACTGGACTCTTCTCAATTATAAGCTCCAAAATTTTCTTACAAAAGACTTTGGTGTTATGTTTTGCCTAACTACTGGGCCCACGGCATGCTACAAGATAAAAAAGTCTCCAAAATACTGATACTACTACATTTTTTTCGCAAAAATATCCGCTACTAAATTTCTAATATTTGTTCAGACTATTACGCGTTTCATAGTAAAAATTACTTTATTATCGTAACCAATGTATTATTTTCATGTTTAAAATCGTTCAAAAAAATATAATTAGGTCGATAGAATTTATTGTTCCCAATGTAATACGGAATACGCACTGTTAAAAAGTAGCAGAAAATGAACCTGTAGATAAGTGTATAAAATAATGTAACCTAATGGAAGACATTTATTTTGAATCTGAGTGCGTAAAAGTTTATGAGTCAGCAGAAATATTGTTTTAGACAGTGGAATGTGGGGTTATAGACTATACTATACTTACTGACTAATCATTATCTAAAACTACATATTCAAACAAGAAGAAAATATGAACACATAACTTACTATTATAATAGGTTCACATATAGATTAACAATATAATTAACGCTAAAATCTTGCTGAAAAATTAACATCTAAAGTGTAAAGCGCTAAAATCAATAAAATCGAACCCGTTTATAGTGAAATAATGCCATTTAAATATCAACGTATCATTTCCGTTATTATAATTAAAGCGTTTAATAAAGCTACAAATAAATAACACATTAAAATATTTTATTACAATAACTTAACATGACTTCTGTACAGCCTGTTCTGTAATTAATGCGGCATAAATGTGTTTCAGAAAGACCAAAATCTGAACTACGTCTAACGAATCCATAGATATCATTACGTTTATTACTTTCCACGTCAATTTTATTTTCAGATTATCCGAAACTATGGCACTAACATCAAACTACCTCATGTCTAAAGTATTAATTTCGAAAGTACCACAGTTCACATTCTGAAAGACAGTGGTGTACTCCAGTACCTCCGAGCCGGTCGCTACATGTAGGCTGGCTTCATCTTGTAAGCTCGTTTCCATATTTCACACAAGCACACCGTTGAATGGAATCGATAGAATATCGCTAATGGCATTGACACATGAGTTATGATCGTCCAAGCCCACAGACCGTAGAAATGAAGCTGAACAGGATGTGATTCCGCTCGAGATTTCTCTAGAGTATTTATAGCCCACATTGCCAAATTAGTTACCAACAGAAACGTTACTATTTCTCTTCCAGGTTTCTTTCGAAGCTGCTCGGCTGTCTTTGCTGATCTCCGGCTGGCGTCAAGAATGAACATTGTCTGACAAGTTGTCTGGATTAATGAAGAGAGAGCTGTGATCAATATAAGTATAGTATTCTTTTCTATCGTGAAGTGCCCTCCAATTATGGTAAAAGTACCATAGATAAACATACCGGTTTGTGCTCCAACCAGGAGAATGTTATCCAATTCAAGATTCCTGTTACCGTCGTATTTTAGTTTTCTCAAACAAAACATACCAGCTAAACTCGCAAAAGTCGTCATAGCGTATAATGCTAATTCACAGACGTTTACTTCTACTACAGCTAACGTTGCATAATCTTTTTTTGATACAAGAACAAAAAACAGTATCAATGATATTATGGTTAGTACCAAAACAAGAATTCCGAAGAACAGTCCCTTATGAGCTCTTGCGCAGTCAACGCTGTATAAATGCGGAGATTTCTTATACGCCAGACCTTCTAGTATTCGAGCCTTGACGATTGCTGCCGCTACATCTTTTGAAGGATATTTAGATATGTTCTTCCACATGACATAAAGGATCGCAGCACAAATGAGAGAGTATTCGATCGTGCAGGGGAATAAGAACGGAGATGCATCCTGGACGAGGGAGCCCATGATGTTCGTTCGTCGACATTCGAAAATGTGGTGGGGACCTTTGAGGCCTCTTGGTACCCGTAGATGAGCAGCGGCGGGGTGAGATGGTGGGACGTCAGTCGACAGCGATGCAAACGCCTTTTGAAATGCTGAAACGTAAACAGGTAAATTATAAACATGTGTTAAAAAATCTTTAAACAGAGTCGCAATGCTCTGAAACACAACTTTTTTACAATCATATTTATTTGGGATAGCACGTATGGATGTAATTTAGGTCGCACCTGTCGAATATATGTGACTAATATTCTAATAAATAAACTTCATATTAAATGAATAAGCGTCCGTAGATTAATTTTGTCTTTCTGCTAAATCACCCCAATACATATTATCTTCAATCTTTCGATGGGCAAATATTTGGGTCACAATACCTTCCAGGCTCGCTCACAGCGGAACGCAATAACATACCGCTGTGACTGCTACCGATGATGAGGGAAATTCCAATTAAAAATCTGCACCTACTTTTAAACCTATATTTATGACTCGGTTTAAAAGGACAGCTATGACATTAATATGCTGTAATGTAATAATAAATATGAAGTCGAAAACTGTACATGAAAATCGGATTATGAACCTAAAAACCACTTATATACATAATAATTAATTTTTGAAAGTTATATATACATTTATTCATCATTATCTTAGAAAACACGATCCCAGACCTTTTAAATCAGTAGAAAATGATGTGATTTTAAGGATTGATTTCCATATTATATACAATGAAATCTCCCTAGAGATCGTGAAAAATTAGAAGAGTTTAAAACAAATATTTTCATATTAAGATAATGTTTCATATCAATGAATGTACCTGGGTTTTTCAGAACTTCTTTTATTGATACATATATATATTATCCGGAGTCTATAATGTGTAAAGCAATGTGCAAACTATAGTGCTATAGTAGCTCGAAAACTACACTTGCAGGTATTTCTTGCGATATAAAATGTTTTGCAATAGAACTTAGAGGTTTATGTATTTCAATTTGTCGAGTCTTATAGATTAAGCTTTTTAACGATTGTGATATGACAAAGGTTTGGTTAAAAAGCAAAACTCTTTTATTTTTAAACGAATTTTTAAGTTTTACATAACTATCATGACGAAACAAAATATGTTTAATGCGATGACATACATATGAAGTATCAACATCTTACCCAGTAACCTTAAATATACAATGGTAGAGTAACCATTAAGTGCTTTCAAATGACGCCACTCCCATGAGGGGTTCAAATCGTAAAAACTTTAGCAAGAGAGGAAATAAAATATATTTTACAAAGAGATCTGGGATGACACAATGACTCTAGGCTTTTGGAAACTATCCAGATATATATTTTTTTACAAGTAAATAAAGCCTTAGATATATATTAATGGTTTTATTATTATGGTTAGAAATAATAGAATCATAATTTAGTAGTGGAGTGAGAGTTTTATGGGTAAAATAACTTTACTAGAGCTACTTTTCTTTCGTGCCATGTTTATTCCTGTTACGAATGTCCTAATTGTATATTTTTTTGGGACCTGAAATTATATATTTGGATACGTAACGTTGCGTAAGGCTATGTTCAGATTTGGAACGTTGATAAAAGTAAAGGAATTTGTTTAAAAACATCCTGATGCTAACGCGTCTTTTAATTTCTTACTAGTGATGCCCTAAATATCGGTATATGTAGATATCCAAATGAAAAAAAAGATCTGTTAGTATCAGTTATTTTATGTTACTTTTTAAAAGATTTTCATTTTTTTAGATTATTCAATTTTTATTACACGTAAGTATAAAATTATAAATTTATTAAAAAAATGGATATTTAAAGTATGTAACTAATATTATTTATTATATGTTACTATTATTATTATTATTGCGAGTTGACGCATCGTATTCTCTTATAATATGATTAAATAAGAGTATATATTTTATATACTCTTATACATCTGTCTGTTTATATTATAGGTACACACAAGCCCATTGCTTCAACAAATAACAAATATTTTGTCACGTCGCATGTGTGTTTAACCATCAAGTGATCCATGCGATGAAAATCGCTAACAGTCCCAGGCTTTAACTAAATCTAGCAAACTATTGAATCAAATCATAGTAAGGGTCACTTAGTGACAAAATGCCTCTGAAGTGAATGTTCAATCACATTGATTAATCCAATTATACGAACACAAATAATATTATCGAGGACGGGAACGCTCCAAACGGGAACATGGTTTGTCACATAACGTATGTTTACCCATATTTGAAGTAGTTCTATGACAGGCTGTTGACATGTAATAAAATATTGTAGATTAAGATAATGGGTTAAACTCTAGATATTTATTGTTTCTCATATCAATACTTTGTTTGATTGTTTTAAACATTTATTAAAAAATGCCAACCCCCGCTCTAGTACTATACCCTATGGCACTGGGAGCTTTACATACATACATTAAACGCACGAAAATAATGTGGAAATCGAACCCTCAACACTCAGCGTAGTAGGAAGCAGTGATCTTAAACCACTTCTATTATTATCAAATGAGGTAGCTTGTGAGCTATTTAACATCAATGTTATGATTCTGATGAAGTACAGAGCCTATAACCATAACCAATTCTAATGAAATATTCACCTACAGCACATATTATCCATAAGACTTATAAAAATATAATAATATTCGAGGTCACAAAAATCAATAAATTATTACATTACTTAATATTATTTCCATTGTTTGTGACATTCTAAGTATTTCTATATATTTTACCTTCTTATTTCTCATTGTTGTAAATTAATAAAAAAAAAATCTTAAGAGACAGGTTAGAAACTTTGGCAGTACTTTATGTCGACAAAGATTTGTTTTAAATTATTCATAACAGATATTATTATAATATATACCAACCAAAACCAATTACTGATATGTATAATCGAATAAAATATTTTAATAATATAAAATCATTTATTGAAAAAATGACCAATAAAATATGTCAATTTATTTGAGGCACTTTCTAAATTTAGCAGTAATTTAAAAACGAATTCTCATTTTCAAACTTTTTTATTTTTTATTCTCTCCTGCAAATTGCACCATTTCCTTTGGAAGGAAGTTACGAGACGTATACATTGTCTCCTCCTTGTTATAGGTACTTTGTTCGGTCTCGAACAGTGTACCCTCGAGGCTCGTAAAAGGCGGCCAAGAAAATATACGAGTGCACAATTTACGGTATATTATATTGTCTTTAGTGCACCTAATCTATGGGTCTATCTGTCGTATTTATTATAACCATAACAGGGATAACTTTGTCTTAATGTAGAAAGCCTACGGACAAGTACTATATATGTAGTAGTAGGTGGCTAGGCCTCTCTAACTGCAGATAAGAGAGTGTTTCCAATTGATACCGTGTGTAAATTTCTTTATTGCAGTATGTTTATTATGTTTAATACTAAAACAGTAACATGGCTAAGAAGCTAATTATTGAAAAACATAATTAACTCGACTGCGTGAAAACGTATACTTAAAATTTAGAAACCGGAAATTTTCATTTGAATAATCTGCATATCCGTGTAGAGACGGATTAAGAATACGGGGAGTCACTACCCCATATTAATACCATGGGTATCATAAGAACCGACTAAGGGAGCAAACTACTATGTACTACGGACAACAGCACTGCAAAGAGTACGAAAACTTGAAACAAACCCTGTACAAACTCGTCTGGCCAGCGTGGTATAGTAGGCTAAAACTTCCTTTCTAAGGAGAGCCCATGTCTAGCCAGAGAACTACTAAAAGCTGTTGATAATGATTGAATTAAGACCAAGAAATCCATCAAGCCGAAAAATAATCCTCCTTCTGGCGCAGTTAAAATAGAGAGTGCTAAGAAATACAACTAAAACGAAATTTGCGTATGTACCTACCTGATGCTTACCCGTTCATAATAGGTAGCACCAAAGGTAACACCATTTGCCTGCACAAAAAACTCAGACGAGTACAGTGCTCACAGTTTCTAATAACGTTATTTAATAAGTAAAACACAAATTAACACGTAAAATATTATAGTCAACGTAGTGAATGAACTTAATACGAGTACACACTATTGATTATACGAATACTACTGTCACAACACAGGGCCAGTACTGCCAAAGTATTTCTATTCAACCAACGCGGTACATGCTGTATTCGACATTTATATTTTTGCTACTCTTTCTCTAATAGTTTGCTCACGTAAATGTAGATTTGATTACTTAATTCCAGTATTCATTAGGCACAGTACTTTTTTCTACAGCTATAAATTACTTTTTCTCTTCTCAAGATAGATGAATAGTTCTCGTAGACAGTAGAATCTCACTCGCTCAGTAAAAAGAAAGAATTATTTAGGTAACGATTTCTGCCGTGATGTCGTAATATCATTTCCGGCCCATAGATATATGTATGCTAAAGCTTATTGACTGGTTTACCAAGACTCACAAAGGCAAAGGCGTCCTTTGTACCTACCGTATCCCAATCTACTTGATAACTTGTTATGATGGTAAGTAAGGTCACCAGTGTTAATAGTGCTTATTATCCGCGATCTTCTAAAGTAATGTAATCATCGGGCCCAATGAAGGCTCTAAGATGCCTAACATTGATATTTTTAAATATTACAAATTTAATGGACGAGATATTTTTATAGAGTACTTAATAAAAGAAATTTCAATAAAACCTGCTAATTTTTCTGTTTACATTGTGAGTTTGTGAATTTTAGCTTAAGCAAAAAGCTTAAGATAAAATTCGTGTAATGGGTCTTTAGAATTTATGTATTTTATTCCAGTCTTGTTCTATATACCTACATCTAATTCTATTGTAATCTATTCAAATATTATTATGAATCCTACAAAAATAAATGCAAACAATCCCACAGTAAAAACAAACAATATGCTTTAATAAAATGTGACTCATAATTGAATTTAATCAGTCGAGTAACGAGATGCATTCTGTAGTGTATGTGCATTATGAAAGCAACAACTGCTAGGTACTGAATGGTACTGATTGATACTTCAAAGTTTCAAAACTAAACAAAACAGAGATGGACACAGCGATGACAGCCCGTCTTCAAGTAAGACTTTAATTATAGAATATTTTCTATATCATTATTATACTTTTCATTCGTTGCAAATCGGACCTGTGTACCTATTAGGTTTTTTTACATACATACCGTCATTAAGTCACACGGAGACAGACGGGCAGAGCGACAGTCTCTATGTGACTCTGTGTCAGTCTCGGTTTAACAAAAAAAACAAGTCTTAAATTATTATTCTTTATTTTAACTATACTGTTTTATTTATCAACGTGGGAAGTAAACTTTACTATAAAGGTATACGTTCACTGCATGAATCGTGTACTCTTATTATCAATTTTCGAGAAAATGTCTGAGCTAAATTGTAACAAAAACTAACTTTCTATTTTTATAGTAGCATTTTAAATATTTTAAAATAGAACACATGAAAAACAGTTATTTTTAATGAATTTTAGAGGTACTGGAATCATGCTGACGTTTTTAAAAAATGAATATTTTCGCAAATGTTCGAAACTAGATTAACATTACCAATTATTTATCAAAGACATAATTGTTATAAATTACACTCACCAAGTCTGTGTGACAGGCCAATAGTCTTGTTCTCAGGATCGTAAAACGTCAGTATCTCGTGTTTGGTCTCTTGCACGAGAACATTAAGCCATACACTGAGGTTGGTACCCACCATATGCATTAAGCCAAATCTTGCTACTATCTTATGTTTATATACCTTCATCTGTAAAAAGAAATTTCACATTTAGATAATTATTTATGATGAAGTTTTTTATGATGTTGCAGACGTAATACATACATACATAAGTAACTAGACAATTATGTTCTTTTTTTAATGGAATAAAATGTCTTCTTCAAGTACACTACTGTATGTGAAATTAAACGAAGGATAGTAAAAATGCAATCGAATCAGTGTGTATGCATCCTCACATAAAATATACCGTATGACGTTCAAGTGTTTTGATCGAATCCATCATATTAATTTAAAATCAAGGCGAGGTAGATGTAAATCGGATACCGTTATTAAAACATGACATAATTGCCATCTTTTGAAAGTGCCGCGCTCGCAAAGCTTTAATTAATGCTCAGATATTCGCCATTGCTACCTGTAATAGCCCCTTTTGATTTAAGGATTTGATTAAAAGTGGTTTGGAAAACATAAACATTTTTGTAAAATAAATACTTAAAGTATATAATAAGCAACATTAAGATATTATAATATAGAACTTATAACAATTTTGTCTGCAATTGTGATAAAACTGAACTTCTTTAGCACCGTTGTAATTAGAGTCTGGGTGTTCTTTGTGTCCGTTTCATGTATGTTTGTAAAGTCCCCCGCGACACAGGATTTATTCCTAATGCGGGCGTTGTCTTTTAAAAAAAGATAAAAAAGATAAAGATTACAAGTATACAGTGTTTTCTGTAATCTTCGTCTCCTCTATGCTATCACGTGTCTTTGCGCCTGCGTAAAACGAAGCCTTCAGAAAATGTGTCATAAACAACGTGGTATATCATTCACGTCTTATTTTTATTTGCGTATTAAAATTCGTTGGTTTTTTTTATGATAGAGGGGGCTGTCATAAAACAAAAAACCAACAACACACATCGGTTAATTAACACATCTATGTTAATTTGACCAATAATTTTTATTTATATGAATTATCTAAAATTAAATTTATTAATATTAGTAAATTATTTGTATTGATTTTACACACAATAATATTTGCGTGTATACTGTGTATTTTTTTAATAATATATATATATATAATATTTTGAGTGTGAATATTTTTAACTTTTCTTTTCTGAAGTTTCACTTCTGCCGTGTGTGAATTGCACACACACACACTTTTTTTTTCTTTTTTTTTATATACATTTAAGGATAATGTATTTGATAGACTTAGTGTCAATTTATTACAAACCTCATTGTTCAGGAAGATAAAGTACATCTGTATAAATATGAAGGCCATTCTAGTGGCGGGTGTGAGTGCGAGCAGCACGTTGTGGCAGTTTGTGTTCCTTTCCAGTTCCCAGTACTGACCAAACTCCAAACCCGAGTAGATCATAGACCCGATGCCGAAAGCTGAAAAATAAAAGATACATTCTCATGATGTAAAAACATGTGACAAGTGGTGTGACTGGCTCAAAATTCATGCACTCACGAAAATATACCATATGATTATACGAGTATATATGTTACGTGGATAGTGTAAGTTTGACTCTAGATTTTAAAATAAGTTTATTTACTACAATGAGTTTAAGTTTGTCTCTACTATAACACTAGAATGAAGATGACTACACGGATGGCGTAATGGTTTAAGCGGTCATTTTCCGCTTCCTACTGCGCTGAGTGTTGTGGTTTCGACCCCCACATGGTCAACACTGTGTGGTTCACAAATTGTTGTTCTGAGTCTGGTTGTTCTTTGTTTTCGTTTGAATGAATATTTGTAAAGTCCCCCGTGACACAGAATGTAATTCTAGTGCGGAAGTTGTTTTAAAAAAAAAGAAAGAATGTTATACACAGTTTTATAATGTGGCAATGATCAAGCCTTTAGCATAGCTTCCACCAGCGGTTTTAGCACGTAACGTAAAACTTTGTTTTTTGTAATGCACATAGATACATCTATACATAAACATGTTTACAACAAGTGATAGTTTTACCCGGCGTCCCGTGAGATGTAGGCGAATTTACGTCGCCGCATTAGATCATTATATTTTAATTCCTGATATCATTTTCATTATCATCACTAATATAGTAGTAAGTATATCTAGTTAGTACCTATATATTGAGAGAACAGAGGGACTATAAAAGTACTGACTTCTTAAGGAAGTGTCGGCATAATAAGGAAAATTAATATTGAGCTTTCCACTCGAAAATAGCCAGATTCAAAAGGGGCAATAAATTTAATAAACAGTGGAAAGGGTGACTTCACCCAAATAAATGATAGAGGTGGTGACAGTTAATTAATGCTTTATACAATATGAACCAGTAAGGCGGTGCCAATTTAATTGGTCCTGATAATTTTGAATTATTGATACTTAAAGTCACTCGAAGCTCAAGTATAACCTAAATGAGTTAGGTCTTTTTTTGTTAAGGAAATGGAAACCCCTTTAAATCGTTTTTTAAGTTCACTTTTTAAATAAAATACCTATTAGAATTAATAGGCAACACTGTGGGGTCATATTTTGATATTTGTTGACAGTCACTCACAAGGAGTGTATGATTCGATCCTGAAAATGACTTAAATACTTGTTTGACAATTGTTCTAAAGTGTGTATGTTTTGAAGTAGTTTAATAATCATTATTATAAATCTCTTGATTGTACACCAGGTACATAAGAAAAAATAATTAAATCTATTAAATAAAGCCATAAAAAAAACTATGTTCATATACAATTATCGAAAATACAGAAAATAATCTCTTACAAATGTTAATGTTCTTATGTGTTATATATATATATATATATATATAAGGTATATTATTGAGGTTCTTCAAAATAAACCATAAATTGTTTCTCTGAAAATACAAAGTATATATATATATACATATATATATATATGAAAATTTTAGCCAATCCAATATTAAGATCTCACTCCCGAACGTTATTGAATTATCGTCGAGGATCGTGGACACCAAAGTTGAACAACTAATCCTTGATACAGCTTTAGTAAACGAAAATTAGTTTACTTAACAAAGTAAATAGTATTAACAAAACAATTACTAAAGTCGATTGCCGTGCGATTGACACGAAACATTATAGAGGTATAACTGTTTATTGAAATACTTCCAAACTAATATCGTACACTAAAATTGGACAGACCGCAGTTTCTAAAATATTAAACACGTACCTACGTTAGAATTATTACGGCCGTATATATATATATATATATTATTAATATGTATGAGTATATTATATAGCAGGACGGACTATATAAATCATAGAGAGCGGCAACCCGTGTTCATTAGACAGAACAGATTCAACAATTGTTAATTTGATACTTTGTTACAGTTTGATTTCAATTAATCGGATATACATATTTTAATAATCGGCTTGTGTTTCGTAGCAGTACTGCTATTATTTATGGTAACTGTAGGCTCAAAATGTGAAATAGATCTACGACACCACTTAATGCATTGTGATCCTGTAACATTCTTGTCGTAGACAAATAAAAACACAATTATAATGCGATAGTCAAAAGAGGAAAAATTCAAAACCCATTTTGTTGCTAACACATACAAAATTTGAAAGTCGTAATAGTTTTAAACTTAGTTCTAGTTTATAAATCTCACCAACTGCTCCCATCCGTAGGTAAAAACTGCCGTAGTGGTGAGTCCGTGTAGCGAGCGCGAAGCCAAGAGATAGGCGTTTGGCAGCTAACTGTGGTGATATGTGCGGTGCGGTTACAGTGCTTCGCTCCATCCGTGAAGAACACGAGTCCGACTCGGAGGGTGATGAACTTGATTCGGATTCTAAAAGTATACAAAATAAGTTAATCTTGAAAGATATGATCTATTCAATTTTAAGTTCAGGTGTAGTTGTGTGTACATTCAAGATGTTAATAAAATCTCTTGATCAACATGTTTGACCGTTACCAATGTATATATTATTAGTTTTAAACTTAGAAATTTGTTGGATCTCTCCATCTAAAGTTTCATCGTGTGGTCTTGTTAACCAAGAGGTAAGGGGCTTCTATAAACATTTATGAATCCAGGTAGGTAAATTATGTGTGACTAAATCAGTCAACCCTAAAACTAGTTCTGTTAAACATATTTTCTCCAGGCAGTAGTACTGCTTGAGTGACTCTAGTGTAATCTTTTGTTTATATTTAACTAGTTCAAAAAAAACGCATTGTTCAATAGAACAAAGATTATTGTAACTTCGAATTAGTTCCGAAAGTAAAAGATTTACTTAAAAAAGCAATATAATATATGCAAACAGATCAGTATATATAATTTCTATATTTCCCTTATATTCGCTCGACTTAACTGTAACTCAGATCAAAGAACGAAATATTTTTAATAAAAATGGAATATCAGAAACGGCAAAGAGCCGTGAAACTGTGAAACAAGTTAGAACATTAACTCCCATGTTTGTCCGCCCTCCGTTGGGGTTTCTGCATCATTTAAATAACGAAATACGAAATCGCACAGATGGAGTAAAATTTGACATTTCTGACTCTGATTGAAATGCTTTGGGTTTCGTAGTTACCTAAATTTACACATTTTTAAGTAATGGTTCATAATAAAGTAGAAATAGAGAGCTGTAAATAGTTAGGATTATTCAGTTAGTATCAATTAATTCCACTTAATAAAAAATTATACACTATCTGCCAATTGTAAGGAATGATGAGCTTATATTGTAATTACCTTCGATCAGGACTTTATTGTTACAAAAGACCGAAAAATACAGAACGATAGAACATAACAGGAAAAAGGCTCTAGAATACTATTTTATGAATCTGCGCAAGTGCAATCTCCGTCCGTTACCATGGCTACAATAAGATGAAAGCAATATAAGGATAAAATCCGCATGAAAACAAAGAAAAATAGGTAAAAACTAAGTGTAACCCAGACTTTAGCTTGTACATACAAATCGGGTATGAACGCATTTATTCCTTTTTTGGGATACAGAGTGTTTTGTGTTACTTTCATATTCGTTTTCTCACGAATGAATAATTAATCAAAGAATTTCACAAGCATTGTGTTAGAATTATGTATTACCGAAAACTGAACAACTTCTTTATGAATACTATGATAAAGAAGTTTTTCTGGAATTGACTATGAATGAGTATGTATTTTTCAGCAGAGATTTCTGGAAAGTATATTTGAACAATTCCAGGGGTATCATTTATACATTGCCGGTTATATAAGAAAAAAATAATCTCCCTTTTTCCATTACATTGTTTTATTGCTATTTTAATAATTTACTGAAGATGCCATTCCATTTCCATTTATATATATAAGATCACGAAAATAGTATCCTGAAAGAAGTAACACGTTATTGTACTTCAAGTGTCTAGTACAATAGTAGTGGCGCGGGACAGACATGGCAACATTTCTATTCAAATAAATTTGTTGCTTGTTATCGCGCAAGAACTTATAAGGCACTTTGCTGTCATACCCCTGGACGTCGGTGTCTATATTGACAAGGTATTGTCCCAATCTAGCGAGAAGCGTGATTAGAATTCAATAAAAAAAGTGTAAACATTATTTGGACCAAAACGCGAAAAACAAATTCTGGCAAAAAATTTAAACCATTGAGATTGACATTTAGAAAAAAAGTATATTAAAATTCTAGGGTTTGCCGGGTTGTTTTTGCTGCAAAAAATATTTCAACTATAGTTCGACTATGGGAACTCATCTTTAAATTGTAACTAAATTTTCCATCGCGTAATGATGAAGTTATAATTATTTACTTTGTTATATCCACGTATACACGGTCATTCTAGTTGCGAGTACCTTTATTACTCCATTTCGATCTACTAAGGTATTAAAATAACAGCATTAATTATACCAATGATAACATCGTGGGGGGCTTTATCAAAAAGGGAAGGAAAATTTAATACAATAATCACACAATAATAATGACAATACTCTTAAAGACGCACTCGACGTTTGGGAAAGAAACCAGAAAGTTTCGTTCTTTGACTTAATGAATGCTCGAGGCACTTCGGGAGCTCGTAGTTTCTAGTTCAGCTCGTTGGCGCTTATTGTGAGGTAATGATGCAATTTCAAGTTGTCTGTGTTGAAAGATGTAGTTCTATGAAAAGTTCTTTTATGAGATATGACTGCTAAAGACAAACAAAGAAATTGTAAAGGAAAAAAACTGTGTCAAGAGAAAGGAGTGAAATTTCTTCTATTCTATATGTGTAAACGAAGATCAAAGCATTTTCACAAGTTTGTTACGTTAAGTGGCCACTCGACTACATTAATATACACCTTAAGTTAAACCATTATTTTACTTTAACCGTCAGATTGATCGAAACTGATTTATCACGGTCCCTCAAAAATATTTAAGCATAAATATATATACATAATAATATACATTTCATAATTTAAAATATCGCTGACTACAAAACGGGATTCAACTGTTATAAAAGAGCTGATGATCGCATTATAGGTTAAAATTCTCTCCATAATGGTACCTTTATAAAAAAAATGACATCAAAATCGGTTATTCCGTTTATGAACACAGATAAACACTACTATCATAACACAGTAGCTTATTTTATTTTATTTTATTTATTAGGGACAAAAAACAGTTATACAATGCAGTATTTACAATTGATTTAGCATTTACATATTTAAAACGTATAACCCACACTATTGCCCACGAGTTTATAGATGAAGTAGAAAAGGTAACGGACGCGCACTATACACAATCGGTGAATTATATGTAATAATATAAGATAGTTAGGTAGTTAACTGAGAATGTTATCATAGATCAGCAAGAATTTCAGTGGCAATTTTTTAAAATTTAGAGTGAGTGAGAGCGAAAATATCCAAGTGAGTTGTACGTTGTCAATAATCGGCGAAGAGGTGCACGCTCCCCAGCATTAGTTCTACACTTTTCCGTGTAGAATAATCGAGGTACGCGCACCTCCCTCCGAATGACAGACCTGGGTACTACATAACATAACCTGTTTGATAATTCCGTACAATTATACTTGTTATTGCATATGCCGTATAGCATCATTAACATTAGTAAGATGCGTCTATGCTCCAAGCTTAAGAGCTTAAAATGTTTCAGAAGATCCACATAAGGAATCTTATTTTGAAGAAATTTTTTCTGTACCATTTCAATCCTCTGCTTATATTTCTTATAAAAGGGACTCCAAATGGGTACAGCATACTCTAACTGGAAACAGACTAGTGCTTTATATAGGAAAAGGTAGGTAGTGGGCTTTTTGAAGTCTTTACAAGAGCGCATGACGCAACCATACATCCGAAAGGCTTTACTTATGATATTGTTGACATGAATATCTAAATGTAATTTAGAATCTAGATGAACACCAAGATCTCGAGTACATTCGTTTTTCCTTAGATTTGTGGAATATATAATATATAAAACAAACTTAACAGGACAACGTAATTTTGGAACTTAAATAATTTTAAAACCATGAATAATCCTAATAAATAGAACGATCTTTAGCTTTTTAACGCTTTATTTTCTTAGAACACTCATTAGAAGCGGCTGCATCCTTTATCGGATCGTTGGTCCATCATGTTTTCGGGACATCGGACGGAAAATTTTCCGAAGACTTTAGCCCCATCGGGAATTGACAATTATAAGCCTTCACCTACCCTTCAGAGGCAAGCATGAAGAAATAATGAAAAAAAGATTTACAATTATACTAACTTGGTAAAACGGTGTCATCGTGTGCTGACTTTGAATTGTCTCGCGCGAGTGCAGCATACATATACAATAGAAACACCATGCTGCCGATGTATAGGTAGAGGTAGAAACCCTGAGAACAATAATTACATATGTTTTTTTATATACAAGGCACCAAAGAAACGAATGGTTATGCACGATAACAGCAAAATAGCAAAAATGTGAGACTACGCTAGCGTCCTGAAGTCCGGAAGACATGGCATTTCTCTCTTTTTAGTTAGTCACTGTACTACGAAAGGTAAAGTTGCAATTTAAAAAAAGTTGATCCGCTATGAATACAGCGGAACTCCTGAGATCTAAATTATCACAGGACACTTTCTGCTGGTATTTGAGAGCCGAGTTACGGGTTGCTGTCTACTCATTAAGCTCCTAAGTAACTGCTCTTATCCTCCACTCGTAATAAGTCACAAAAGTCGAAAGAAATACCTGGCAAGAAATTCTTCACTTTTTTTGATAGCCAGTGCGATAAAATCATGCAGAACTTTCGGTTTACAAAACAAAGACATCCTTCTTGTTTCAAAATAGGTTCTAAATTTTAAAAGTAGCTATGTCAAAGGTAAGAAAAATACTCGTAAAATGAATTTTTGCTAGAAATGTAGGAAGTTATTTGTGAAAACATGCAGGAGAGAGACAATAGAACACAATAGAAATAGTTCTGAATAAAGCAGTAACAGGTAAAAGTGAAACCAGTGCCATATTTTGTTATTCTTGTTTGAATTTAAAAAATATTGGTACATAAATTAGCAGTCGTATTTCAGTAACATTTTGAACAAACGTTTTATTGCACTCGTAGTTCTGTATTTGCGTTTTCACATTTAAATTTCTGTGAAAACATTCGTATCATATTTATGAATGTGAAGAGTTCAAGAGCTTTTTTGTGGTCATACTGTATAAATTACGGACAAAACTACGAAATAAAATAATATCCTGATTTATGTCATTCTTACATAATTACGTAATACACAATTTAGATTTAGTCAATCAATTATTCGATCTCAAAAATATAATGTTTTCTTCGTTGTAAAAGATATGCTATATCCTATTCTGTACACCTTTTTTTTTTTTTTTTTTTTTTTCCGTGCGGAAATCCCCTCGGATACCACCTGTCGGTGGCATGTCGGACTCGAACCGACTAAAACCGCACGCCTTCGCCGGGTACTAATAGCCGGGGAACCAGGTATACCCTAGAAAGGAAGTCCCTGGTGCCCCGACATACCTCGGGTCATCTACAGACGAGTAGACGACCCCCGCCCCGTGTGGGAATTGTTCCCTGTGCTCCCTGTGCTCCCTGGAAGCGAGCGCGCTTCGCAACGCGCTCGCCGCCACCCCGGCCTGCTTCTGCTAGGGTGACAGATGGCCTCACCTGTCACCCCCAGGCCTGCGCTTATGGAGGACGGAGGTCGTTCTGCGACCTCCGGCGCCTGAGTCGCCTGCGCTGCCTGGCCCGTGCCCGGGCCTGGCGGGCCGGGAGAGTTCTAAACCTCTCCCGGTCCCGCTCCGCCGTCTCCTTCGCGAGCATAACTTGCTCGCAGAAGGAGACGGCAGAGTTCCACGCACTCTCGCTCCGCACGATAGCCGCAATCAGGCTATCGAGCGAGAGAACTCCCACTCCGATGGCCGCCACGAGGTCTCGCCTCTGCTCAACCCACGCCGGGCACTCTGCCAGCGTGTGGAGAGCCGTGTCCACGGTCTGGCCATCGCAGTGGTGGCACTCAGGCGTTGGCTCCTTGCGGATCAGACACAGGTGATCCCCGAAACATCCCTTCCCAGTGATCACCTGCGTCAATCGGTATGAGAGGGTCCCGTGACGCCTCTCGAGCCAATCCTCCATAACGGGTCTTACCGCCGCAATGACGGCGTGCCCGCCTATTCTGTACCCCTGAACGTATAAAGAAAATTATATGGTCGATTAGTTACGAGATAAAAGCTTGACAAAGAAATAACCGTACAAGTCCATTTTCACATTTAAAGTATTAACTAAACTAATGTAACTTCATTTATTTATCTCGTACCTAATATTAGGATCTAGCAAAAGACACACTAGAAACTCAGTAACTAACAGTAATTCCTTATATACATATGTATATGTTGAGATGGATGGATTCATACTCATGAACAATTTTTAAATCTCGATTATTTCTCTACAAAAACAGTAATCCCTACTCCCATGCTATAAAAATGATTGTACGTGAAGGTATTTCATAATCACTCACATGCTAGTAGCTAAACGGATTTCACGCGATCACTGATATATATATATATATATATGTATAAATACCAACCATAAGGCATTAAAGTATGCTCCTAAGGAACCGGGGAAATCTTTACTCAAACCATATTTTTAATTCGGTTTTAAGGCTTTCGTATTTTCGGTATATGTATATAATGTGTGTACTGAAATGAATAGAAAAATGGTTTTTTTTTCTACAGAAGATTACTATCAAGTGATAAGGAACAACATGTTTGACTTTTCGACAGTAATTTCTAACAACTAATTATTTCTAATAAATACTTATAAAACAAGTATCTAACCAGATCAATCATTACGTCAGATTTTGAGACAGACAAAATTCTCAAAACTAATATTCGTAACTTGACAAGTTTGAATTAAGAATAGTGCGTCATAGCTTACCTCATAGAACGAGGGTGGAATGTATGTGGAAATGACCTCAGCCATGGGGAAAGCGATGCCCATCACGACGAGTAGTTTGCCGTAGAGTGCAGACAGGGTTGTTGCTAATGCGTCGCTCCTGCATAAAATAATAGATTTTAGATATTCACCCTCATTAGTTATTACTATTCTCATAAATTTAAAAAATATACTTTACTGATTTGGTCTTCGTAACTAAGCCGATACTTCCGAGCCGATACGCCGATATATACATGTATATATTTAGAAATACATAAGCATGTTAATCGGTAATTTGTACTATGGTAACCACCATAGTACGCACGCACTGCCATTATTAGAAAGCTACTTAGTCCAGAAAGATCATTAGTCTACGTTTAAATTTGTCGTATGTAATATGTCGTTATATTTGGATAATTTAAATTATCGTTATTATTTATTAATACATATTTATGTATGTACATTTGCATCATTTTTGTTTATATTAATGATGATTTATTCATTTAGTTTTATCATTCATTGAATTATAAAGCCCGTTATTCATAGATTATGTAGATGACAACAAACGATTATATTATTTTGAAGTAATATCTCAAATGCTTTAGGCAAACAAGACGTATTCTTTAGTTTACTATTTTGTACTACTTGGACTCGAATGAAGGTGTTAAAATAAGCCGGGTCTTAAAACTTCTTGCTGGAAAACATATTTAATACATGCAATAGCATGTATTAAATGTTGTGTATGTTTTCCAGTAAGAAGTTTAACCCTTTTTATTATATTATATTTATAAATAAACAAAACAACGGATTGAATAAAAAAATCTTACCGAGACTTCCAGTCTACAGATTAATAATTTACCCGAGACAAACATTTCCTGGGCACCCCCAACAAGATAATTTATGGAGTACTGAACAATACTCGGCGGACGGCCAGACTAGAGACTAAAGACGTTTCCCATTTGTTTTACGACCATCTGCACCTTGGGGGAATGACGACCAGCCGAACTAAATCTTGTCCGACAGAAAACTTATTTGTTATGGCTACAAGTTCACGTAAAATATTATAACTATTTCCAATACATATTTATCACACAGAGTAAACTTTATATTGTTACTTAAAAGTCGTGTTGTGTCTGCTTAAATTGGGCATGGGATTCTGACATAAGTTTTGAGCTAGATTCCATGATAATAACCATAACCATTCAGTAGATAACTAAGAATAGGTATCTATCACCACAAACTTTGAATTTGCTAAATAGGTATTGCACTATGTATACAGGTAGTTTTCCTGTATAAATAGTGCTTTACTAAGCAAATACACACAATCAACATCCTAGTAAATTCACTCTCATAAAGGTGAATGACGTGGCAGGCTTTGGATATTCAAGCCTACTGTCAAATCATGTGACGTCAGTGTGCCGTGATACTGACATATACATTTAAAACCTTAATAATTCAATACTGGGATACACCCTTAATAGGAAACAACTTTTCGCTGCATGTAGGTTGCGGACTGGTCACATTCCTTGTAGAAGTTTTGGATTTCTAATGAAAAAGGTTGATTCACCAAATTGGGAAGTATGTAGAAAACATTATCACATCTGCCACATACTTATGGAATATGTACGGTATGATACTAAAAGAACCTAATTAATTATTAAGAGAGTTTAAATTACCTCTGAACAATAATGTTGGCATATTTTAAGAGTTTTATTAATTTTTGGCATATTTTTAAGAGATCCAAGTAGTAGGCAGCTAAAATACTTTACAATTTAGTTTTAAGTAGTTATAATAATAATTGATGTAGTAGTTACCTGAGAATATGGTACTATTGTATTAGGTACAAAAGTCCCTTCTCTTAATTAAAGAAAAAAAAAAAGAAAAAAGAATTTATACTGCTATCAAATTTATATAATGTACATTTTAGCGACAACTTACGTGGACAAAGGATTGTAATGTATTCTCGTGTAGAGGTATTTGGATAAAAATATACTTGAACGGATTTAAATGGAATTTACAAAATGTTAATATGTCACATATATAAACGTAAAGTGTAAAGTTACCTAAACTATAACAACGTGTGGAGTGAACAAAATTGATTACTTAATTTTACTTTCTTTTTCTGTTCCTGTTCTTTTTTTTAAGACAACTACCGCATTAGGTCCTCCTTCAGTCTCCTTCAGTCCACAGAACAACAATTTGTGGATCACACAAAGTGTTTTGCTGTGTACATCGAGTTCGACCTCACAATACTCAGCGCAGTAGAAGGCGGCGTGGCGACCGCTTAAACCACTAAGCCATCCGTGCAGTCTTGATAAGTTATAATGTTATATTATGTTTATTTTCGGGAATTATAATATCGCAAACTTATTTCCAAAAATAAACGAGGTTTATATTTTATCAAATATCGTACCAATTTACAAGCGGAACGGAGAGAGTACCTCCGAGGCCGATAGGAGTGCATTTGGCAAATGTATCCAGAGAACGAGGAATAAGGGTAACCAACCGTGTAATGGAGACAGATGGCCGCGATTCATCTATCAAACACACAAAAATCGTAGTGTAAGTGAAAACAAAAAGTATGCTACTATACGTCCTAGTTTTACGAACAGCCAGAAATCTACTTGGAGAAAATGGAGCTTGAACTGATACATATAAAATGCTGTCTCTAACTTTCACAAATTGTAAATTTTATAAGGTTATTTATAACTCTTAAAGTATATTGACTAATATACTTTTTTTATTGATAAACAACCTTTTGACCAATAGCTCTCTTATTTACTTTCTTTCAATACTGAACGAGATAGTGATTATCATATTAGTACACAAAATACTTTAGTATTACGAATATACACATACTCGTATTAAATCAAATCAAATCAAATCAAATCTTTATTTGCCAACCAAGTGTACATCAATGATCTTATAATATTATATGTAGTAGTCCCAACTCAGAAGCCTTCTCCAGGCATTGCAAAAATTTGAGAGAGAACGCAGAAGAATAAATTGTTACACAAGTACAAGCATTTTTTGAACAATACAAATTAAGTGACTTAATAGTACAGTATAACAATCAAATAAAGCATGCAAAAATACGAAGGCACCCGACATTCTACATCACTAATACATATACACATTTTCCTACTGTCCCTAGCATTTCCGAGCATCACGACCGATTTTTCTTTTTATGATTTGTACTTAGGTATATGCTTTCTGTTTTCCGTGTAATAAGAAATGTAGTTTGTTAAGTGTTTTTTTCCTCAATGTATTCTTTAACAGAATAGAAACATTTTGTAATTAAGAATGCTTTTAGTTTTTTAATGAATAGTGTAGTCTTCGTTTCATTTTTTATGTGGATAGGTAATTTGTTGTATATTTTTACAGCCATGTAGTAAGGGCTCTGGTGTAGCATTTTAATTCTTGATGGTGGTAGGTATAGTCTGTCTCTGTGGCGTGTGTTTAAATTGTGATTGTCTTTTACTCTCGCGAAGTGACTCATGTTCTTGGATACAAATATGCAGATGTCAAATATGTATAATGATGGTAGTGTGAGGATGTTATATTTAATGAAGAAGGGTCTACAACTATCACGATTTCCAATTTGTCCGATAATTCTAATACATTTCTTTTGTAATATAAATAAATCCTGAAAGTGTACACTGTTTCCCCACAACATAATGCCGTATCGTAACCAGGAGTATGCGTATGCGTAGTATGCTGACAGTGCGGTTTTTTCGTTTGTGCTGCATTTAAGTTGGAATAGAGCATATGTAAATCGAGACAGTTTATTTTTTGTATGTTCGATGTGTGCTTTCCAGTTGATGTGTGTGTCTATAGTTATACCAAGTAATTTGAATGTATCTACAGTTTCTAGTTGTGTGCCATTGTATGTTGTGTCGATGTTTACGGGGGTGTTTCTGTATGTTCTAAATTGGATAGTTTTTGTTTTGTTATAGTTAATTTCTAAGTTATGGTCGTTGAGCCAGTTATTTACTGTATCTAGAGTTTCCTGAAGTAGTGGTGTCGGCTTTGTGGTTTTGTCATAAGTAATTAGTATTGATATATCATCAGCAAATAGGACAGGTAATGTATGTTCCTTGTTTAGTACTTTTGGTAAGTCGTTGATGTATATCAGAAATAGCACACAACCCAACACGCTGCCCTGCGGGATTGAACACTTTATGTTCCTTTTTTTAGACCGGACTATTTTAACCTCATTCGTATTGGGGTCGAAATGGTCAATTTGGACCATTTGTGATCTATTTTCTAAATATGATCGAAACCATGTGTAAGCTGGGCCGCGAATACCAGAACCGCTTAGTTTATTCAAAAGAATGTCGTACAATACTTTGTCATAGGCTTTCGTCATGTCAAGTAATACTCCGAGTACATGTTTTTTGTCATTTATATGTTTTATGGTAGTCTGGATATACTTATATACTGCTAGTGTAGTTGATCTTGATTTTCTAAATCCATTTTGACTATCATCGAGAATGTTATATTTTTCTAAAAAATCGTATAATCTGTTACACATTGTTTTTTCAAATACTTTCGAAAATGTGGGTAACAGAGCAATAGGCCTATAATGACTAGGTGTGTAGGTGTCGCCTTTTTTGTGTATCGGTTTGATTATTGATATCTTTAGGGGGTCTGGAAATTGGCCATCTTGAAGGCTTTGATTAACTAAAAATGTGAGCGGTATTGACAGTTTTTCTGCACACTGTTTCAATAGAATTGGGGGGATTTCATCTATGCCACAGCTGTGTGTATTTTTAATTGAGCGTATTATGTCGATTATTTCTTTTCTATCTACAGGACGCAAGTACATGGAGCACATTTGTGAGTTTATCTAAGCTGTTCACAAAATTACACTTTGGCGCCAGTTAATTTAGAAGGGCGTGACAATTCGTGTCATTTATCAATTATACAGGTACGTCTTTGTCATCCGAGTTTTAATTACAGAGCGCAGCTAATCCATTCCCATACCTATATATACATTACATTTCGACTCATACACCTAATCATGTCATATACATTGTTGTTATTTCTATCTCCTCACTTTGATATCGATAATGAAACAACAGAATTGCTCTTATTAAGATTGGAATATCAGAAACACTA